GTAGTAGCGATAGCAGGGATAGCAACGGCAGCGGCTCCAGCAACACCTGCAGGAGCGACACCAGTACCAGCAGCAGCAGCAGCAGCAGCAGCAGCAGCAGCAATGACCACAGCAGCAGCAGCAGCAATGACAACAGCAGCTGCAGCAGCAGCAATGACCACAGCAGCAGCAGCAGCAACAGCAGCAGCAGCAGCAGCAGCAGTTACTGGGATGTTGCTCCGTTTGGTGTGGGGTTGCGGCCCGACCCTCCTGCTGCAGTTGTTGCTGCTGTTGTGAAGAGCAGCAGAGAGCTTCATCCTGTCTTCAGCAGCAAATATAGAGTAGATGTTTGCTCTTTAATTAACCCTAGCACATCGAACATAGCCGCCTTTCTCAGCAAACATAACACAGAAATTCTGAAAAGACTCATGTGCGGTAAGCAAACAACGCAAACCCTAAACCCTAAACCCTAAACCCTAAACCCTAGACCCTAAGCAACAGTAGAAAACCCTAAACCCTAAATCCTAAGCAACAATAGACTGCTCTAAACCCTAAACCCTAAACCCTAAGCAACAGTAGACAACCCTAAACCCTAGACCCTAAACTGTGTGCAACAGTAAACAGTACTAAACCCTAAACCCTAAACCCTAGTTACAAATAGACAACATTGAGCAGCAATAAACCGTCAGAGTGTATAAATAAGAGCATTAGTTTGATTTCTTTTGTTTGTTTGTTTGTTTGTTTGTTTGTTTTGCTGCTGCAGTTGTTGCTTTTGATGGGGTCCTGGCTGACAGCATTTGCTGCGTCAATACCTGTTTGCTGCTGCTGCTGCTGCAGTATCTTGAGGGACGCCTGGAACTAACCTTGAATAATATAAAGAGAGAGTTTAAACAAGCAGAGGTTAGCAGCTATATTCATCTTCACTTTCTTTATCTTTATCTTTATCTTTATCTTTATCGTTATCTTTATCTTTATCCTTGTCTTGCTTGCTCTTTACTCTTGCGTGTCTCGCTCTCGATGATGCACAATCTGCAGTTGCTGCTGCTACTGCTGCTGCTGCTGGTGCTGCTGCTGGTGACTGTGCTGCTGTTGCTACTGGTGCTGATAGGGCCTAGTTTTATGTGTGTCTCTCTTTATAGGGTTTAGGGTTTAGGGTTTAGGGTTTAGTGTATATTATGCTTCATAGTCTGCAATTGTAGCAGCTTCTTTTTTATTTATCCTTTACAACAAACAAAACAAAAAAAATTAATCTTTTGAGTTCTGATGCTCAGGCTGCTGTTGCTGCCGGGGAGACTCCTCCAGGTGTGGGGCCGCTGCTGCAGCGGCTGCTGCAAGCCGAAGCTGCTGAACAGCAGCAGCAGAAGAAGCAGCAGCAGCAACAACAGCAGCAGCAGCAAGACCCGCATCAGGAACATCAGCAGGAACAGCCGCCTCAACAGCAGCAGCAGGACCAGCAGCAGCAGCAGCAGCAGCAGCAGCAGCAGCAGTTGCATGCATGCAAGAAGAAGAAAGAAGAGGATTTGAGACAGTCGATGGGTATTGCAGTCTTTAACTTCTGGCGGTTGCTGCACTTCTGGAGAATTCATTACAGCAGACGGTCAGACAATAAACCACGACTTAGGGTTTAGGGTTTAGGGTTTAGGGTTTAGGGGTTTGGGTATAGGCATCTGAGGGTTTACGGTTTAGCACTTTACGATCTAGGGTTTAGGGTTTTAGGGTTCAGGATTTACGGTTGATGGTTTTATAGTTTTAGGCCTTTAGGGTTTAGGCCTTTAGGGTTTAGGGTTTAGGGTTTAGGGTTTAGGGTTTAGGGTTTAGGGTTTAGGTGTGTACACCGCAGGAGGAGGGACGCGCGTGGCCTCGAATTTGCGAGTCAAATTCCGCTGCAATATTGGCATGAGGTAAAACAAATATTTTATTTTATTTTATTTTATTTTATTTTATTTTATTTTATTTGTTTATTTATTTATTTATTTATTTATTTGTCTGTTTGGTTGGTTGTTTATTTGTTTTATTTTGATCTATAGGTTCGTTTTTAAGAATTAATAATTTTAAATGTATTTATTTATTTATTTATTTATTTATTTTTATTTTTTATTTATTATGTTTAAATTTATTTTTTATTTGCAGCTAATTTCAATTTTGTGCGGCCCTGCGGACTCTCCTACCAGCCTCGCCTACCCCGTCTCCTAGATGCAGCAGCAGCAGCAGCAGCAGCAGCAGCAACAGCAGCAGCAGCAACAGCAGCAGGATCCGCAGAGGCAACAGTAGCAG